AATTTTTTGGTGCACTTTTAAAAGTTTTAAAATAGCATAAAATATCTGCTTTGAGAGTATTCCACTACGTAAACGTCAAGTAAATCCCCCAGGATCAAGCAACGAAAACTCATTATTGCCGTAACTCGTTGTTGACGTAACTCGTTGTTGAGACTCGTTGTTGCCGTAACTCGTTGTTGAGATTGTTGGTTTCCTGCGTTGAAAACACACAGGCAGTAAACTTCTGATTTCATCAGGTCGCAAATATCGACAATGGGAAGTTAATGAGACCGTGATCGACGTTCTCCGTGATGAACTTTCCAGTCACAACAGCAACGAGACATGCGATAACTTCTTTTTCAGAACTCTCTCCTCATTTTCGTTGGCAGGATCTCGAAAGGGGAATTTCCTCATATATGTTTGTACATGCAAGGCTTCCATCGTCTTGGCCTTCATATTCCTTGGTAATAAGAAGGCAAGGGAATAAGATAATTCTTATTCCTTGAAAAAATTGCTTTAGAAAGGAGGTAAAGCATCTGTCTGCCTATGATAGTCACCTTCTACTATCTTATCGTACTGGAGTGTGTGTCAAGGGAAGAGTTATTTTCTATAAGAAATAAAATCCATGAGTTACGGAACATAGGGTAAGCGTCCATTATAAAAGGTAAATTTTTCTACCTCTACCATTTCTCCTGGCTCCAACTCTTTGATGTTAAGCCAGGCACTTCAGTAACAAATTTAAAACCTATGCTTTCTACGTGGGTTCAATCCGCTTGAACTTCATTATGCTATTGCTACCTGGACTGTATAATAATAAATCCCGCTGTGTAAGGCCAAACGCTTGCCGTGATGGATGACGTAGAGTCATGCCAGCCATTTTCACGCGATCCTTTGCCAAAATTTTATCGTTTCCTTACTTGGTCAAGTCTTGCGCGGCTGACTTATGGACGGTCGATTTGTAAAAAAATTGCGCCGGTCATGAGAATGAGGCTTCATATTCTTTGCAACGCGAAAGAACATCACAATATTATAAAGTACCGTTAAAAATTCGGGTGACGAAAAAATTAATATGACAGTGAAGCATATTTACTGTGATGACAGTGGTGTTCATAATCTCATTCGAACCCTTTATAAATTCAATTCAAGAGAACAGCAATTATTTGAAGATTGATTAAAACGATTTCATTTGGTGTGGTGGTGCTGCATGGCGCAACCCGAGCGCAGCGCACCACACGAGCCACCTGCCACTCGAGCGCAGCGCGCCACACGAGCCACCTGCCACTCGAGCGCAGCGTGCCACACGAGCCACCTGCCACTCGAGCGCATTGCGCTAAATGAGCCACCTGCCACTCGAGCGCAGTGAGCTAAATGAGCCACCTGCCACCCGAGCTTCCTACCTGTCACACGAGCCACCTGCCACTCGAGCGCAGCGTGCCACATGAGCCACCTGCCACTCGAGCGCAGCGCACCACTCGAGCCACCTGCCACTCGAGCGCAGCGCGCCACACGAGCCACCTGCCACTCGAGCGCAGCGTGCCACACGAGCCACCTGCCACTCGAGCGCATTGCGCTAAATGAGCCACCTGCCACTCGAGCGCAGTGAGCTAAATGAGCCACCTGCCACCCGAGCTTCTTACCTGCCACACGAGCCACCTGCCACCAATTGCATTTGCTGCTCGACTGTTCTTTGGGATCCAGAAGAAAATTTGTGCGTTCGAGGCTGCATTAGCGGCAGACAAAAACTCCCGCAACTTCGTTGCCGGCAAGAACTTTCCGCCGCAGATGAAGAGCGGCAAAAACTTAGCGCCTTCCAATGCGGTCGGTCGTGGTATTTATAATGAGGTGAAGAACTGATTCAATTTTATATATTTGCCGGTTGCTTTAACACGAGTTGATGTTGAACATTAGTAATGAACTTACCTTTCATGTTATTTTACCCTCTATTCAATCGTCAATAGGATGGCATTTGAAGTGTAAATCAAGCAAATTTTCGTTAAAGGAAAAGTAGAGGTTAATTATTCTTTGACGCGTATTGGCGGCAGAGTTTTCTATTTATTCGAGCATCGGCAAAATTTGCAGTGTTACCTGAGATTTCAACTGAGATTTCCCGCAGCCACCGCTGTTTCACAAAACTTTGTGGCAACAATAAAATTTTCCCCGCACAAAACGCGGACGTGTTTTCGAAAAAATATTTTTTGCCTTCGAAAATTTTCAGACTAAATTATGACCGAAGAAAGTTTGGGCGGCAAACGATACCTTATAAGTTATATGGCATTGATTTAAATTAGTTAAAGCAGGCCCTGCAGCCCATCGCCCAGACGCTGTTGCATGGTCAACAGAGTCTCACTGATTGCCGTGGCAGATTCCAAGCCACCAATAAACCTGGCACATCCAACACACTGGAGCATTAATCCTAGCCGTGCATTAATCCTAGCCGTGCATATCCTTGCAGTCCACCAACGCCAATGATCGACCATCGCCCTCCTGTTGACATCGTCTTCAGAAATTCGTCACCGTCGTCAACTGATGCGCTGATACGCGTTGTCTTCGGCCATTAGATCGTTGCAGCCAAATTTAGATATCTGCTATAAATTTAAACAAAAATTTAAGTTGGATTAAAGTATCTTTAAAGCTGCTGTGAAAAATGCGTTTGATAGTTTTTTAAGAAATTTTCATTGCAAAGTTCACGTTCAAAACCTCACTTGACTTTATGACTTCTGCAATACCATGTGCGATACTTACATAGTCTCCACAACGGCAGGGAGACCGCATGCTTTTGCACGAGGCTTTGCCTTGCTTCTTATGTGTCGCCAAATTGAGTTTTCTTTCCTTGAGGAGCGAGGACTTAGTCGCAGTATCGTGAGGGAAGCAATGGCGCCATCAAGAAGCGGAACAGGGCGATGGAAGACGTCTTTCTCGAAGTGGCAGTTGAGCGGACCAATAAATTTGAATGTACGACTTTGTACGGAAGATAAGGAAGGCAACAGATGGGGATGACGTGAGGAGATGAACCCGCTGAGTTTTATATGCATTGCCGCTCTATAAGGAAACTTCTGCGGCTGGATTACTTCTTTTGGCACAGATGTTCTATAAGTAGTATGTAATAGCAATAGATGAATTTACTAATAATATTCCAGAGGAATAATGCACTGACATACAACGTAATGACATTTTTACAGGAATGATAGGAAAATCTCTACGCTTGTAATACAAATCATGAAAACCGGCGGTAAAAAAATAAATTAAAATAAAATTTTATCCGTCTGCTAACAAAACGTTCATTTGCGATGAAAATCTACTGCTCCTGTATCAGAATATTAACTCATCGTATGTGAAATCCTGCCTCCGATTCATTAATAAAATCAGTAAAGAGGATGCGAAAACGACTGATATCTTTCAGTTAGTCAGGGCGGCGCGGCCTTCTGTGGCCAGCGGCTCAGTGAAGTGTGAGGGAGAGATAGCCGGACCCTGAGCTCAATCCAGCGGGTCTGAGAAATGTTGCAGGCCCGGCATTCTGTGTCTCTTCAGGGAGAACTGAATTGTAACTTGCCGCTTAGAATCTCGGGAGTTTGTTCAGTGATAAATCCGGACGATGTTACTGGAATAAAATGCGGGCAAAAATAAGGATAATGATAATTAACATTATGCGGCTCTAGTTTGTCCCTAGAAATTATTCGTGGGAATGAAGAAGGATTGAAATGAAACAATAAAAACTTAACGTATTTTTTTAATAAAAATACAATACGATTGGTCAGGGCTTCGATATATTGAATCACAAACGCTTACACGTAGAAGTAATGTCCGCAAACTTATAAGCTTATTCTTAATTTCAGTAAACTGGAATAATGCATTTTTGTAGGAGTTATTATAGTCTAATAATATAATGTAATATTATAATAATATTTATTAACGTGAGTTTGAATTTTGTTTCAGTCTCAAATTTCTCAAATTACGGAAAATAATCTTAATAACAAGGCCGGTTTAACCCGATTGCACTTATAGAAGTTAAAGTTAATCCTGAATGCTGGACATCCTAGGAAGGTTTCAGTTAGAGTCAAAAACTGAGCGAGTGACTGAAATGTCTCGTTAGTCTGTTGGTCATTTTTAATTGTTGATGTGTTAAGGGAAAATTCATTTGCTAATATGGCTAATTAAACACGAAAATAAAGATGCTTTGTCCTTCCTTGTTTGCCCTGAAAGTTTATAAGAATTGGATTGCGGAGGCGGAGGGAAACCTTGATACGGATTTAATAGGTTTTTGGGCCATTATATTTGAATAAATGAAAATGTAAACTTCTTGATTGTCCATTGAACGTATTTTGGATAAACTGTCCGAAAACTCTCCACCTCCCCTCATGATATCCATTGAAAAATCAACTTATGACAATATATGAATTCTTGGTAATATCAACGCAGCAAATTCTTCGTATCAATCGCCAAGCAAAAATGATAAACGGCGAGTCCCGATGCAAAGAAAGGCATGAAAAAAATGAAATTTATTTGATTTGTGTCTGTAAATTCTACAATTATTTTATTAGACGAATTCAAGAAGAACTTATTTACTTTTCAAAATTTGTTTTCTCGGGACCCTCTGGTGCGAATTTCGGAAACGTGTCTTCACAAACGCTCATTCCCAGACTCATTCCTTCAACTCTTGTATTCGCAAGACCCTTAATTCTTAGGGTCTTGCAAATACAAGGGTACTGAAGTTACGTACGTTAACGGACCGTCATTAACGTTACTCAACGAAAAAAAATAGTTACAGAGAATTGAACATTAGGCAGGGAACAACAGGCCTGCATGATTCACTAGCGTGGCGCGTAAAATGGCTAATTTATGGGGGAAAAAATCAGTTCCCTGGATATTTTTTTCTTTAGTGATCGCATTGAAAAGAGCAAGGAGCTGTTCAACGCGCTCGTAGACGATGAATAATGAGCGTTCGACTTCCTGGCAATTCTCTCGAATTAAAAGGCACTGATTAAAAAATTCAACGATTGCCGTTTTTCACAAAAAATTTCCAGGAAATATTACATCCGCTTACAAAATACAAATTACCTTAAAAATAACATTAACTACAAATATTGCAATTCTTCAAAATCGATATTCAGTTATCAATACGTAATCGTTACAGATACTCAGCAAAACAATAATAGTATAACAAATGCAGCACCTCTTCGTTTGGCCGTTGAAAACGTTGCGCTCTCATCAAGGGCGTGAATGTCTCACCCTGTTCAATCTTTTAATTCAGTGCCCCCCACATCAGCACGGGAAAACTACGGCGCCCCAAGCTTGTCCACGGCAATTAATGTTAGTTAAACATTCAAGAAATTTCTGTCCGGCGAATGAGGATTTGCTAAAAAACAAGACCAGTAGAATCATGAGAGTCTTGGGCGCTGTGCGAAGAATAATCCGTTGACTAATTTTTTATTGCAGTCTTTATTGTGTATTAACGAAGGGTTAAAGCTGATAAGGTGGCAGCTTTTCAGATCCTGTGTTTGTCTTGCCCGGTTACCAGAGCAACGAATAAAATGCACAGTAACCATGCGGTTTTAACTTGACTTCAGTATTTATTGTGAATTTAGAGCATACTGCCATAAATGAGAGGTTAACATATGCTAATGCATTTTTATGTGACTGAGTTTGGCGAGTACAGTTTAATGAATCACTATGCATGATGGCACAGTTTTATGAGCGATTAAGCCTGACGGGCACAGTTTTATGAGTCACTATGCCTATGGCGGGCACAGTTTTGTGAGTCACTATGCCTGGGGGGCACAGTTTTATGAGTCACTATGCCTATGGCGGGCACAGTTTTGTGAGTCACTATGCCTGGCGGGCACAGTTTTATGAGTCACTATGCCTGGCTGGCACAGTTTTATGAGTCACTATGCCTGGCGGGCGCAGTTTTATGAGTTATAATGACTGACGGGCACAGTTTTATGAGCGATTATGCTTGGCGGGAATAGCTTTATGAGTCATTATACTTGGCGGGCACAGTTTTATGAGTCATTATGACAGGCGAGCACTGTTTTTTAAATGACTCACTATGCTTGGCGGGCACAGTTTTATGAGTCAATATGCTGGTCGAGCACTGTTTAATGAGTCACTAAGCTTGGCGGGCAAATTTTTATGATTCATTATGCATGGTGGACCCAGTTTTATACATCACTTCGCTTGGCAGGCGCAGTTTCATGCATCACTCTGCTTGGCAGGCGCAGTTTTATACATCACTCTGCTTGGCAGGCGCAGTTTCATACATCACTCTGCTTGGCAGGCGCAGTTTCATACATCACTCTGCTTGGCAGGCGCAGTTTCATACATCACTGTGCTTGGCAGGCGCAGTTTCATACATCGCTATGCTTGGCAGGTGCATTCATCAGAGGAACGAACACACTGACATTTTGTTGATTGTGTTCATCAGCTGTGAACTGCCTGAGCGTTGGAGGGGGGGTGGGCAGGTTGTGGGGGGAAGGACGTGGAGGTTGAGGGTTTTGGGGGGACGCCGGTGACGGAGATGTCAGCTGGATGAAGGGATAAATAGAAAAAAAAAATAAAATTGTCAAAAAACACTTGAAATAAAAATTAAGTTATGAATGAAGAAAATTTATCAGTGACGTAATATACAAGTAACCCAAAAATTTCCTATCGATCTTTTAACCAAGATTAAAAAAAATTGAGTATAATTAAATTTTCCCGTGGCGTCTATTTTTTAAATATTCGTTTATTATCTTTAGCTAAGATTGCAGCAGAAAGTGGTTGTGGTGAATTCATGAGGAGAAATGGAATTGTGCGAATCACTCAATCGGATTACTCAACATTGAGGCGAAAATGCAACATAAGATATAAAAAAATTAACGAGCTGAGCATGAAATGGTTAAAGTCAAATGAGAAACAGAAAAAAAGCAATGACAATAAATTCGTGTAGAAAATATTAATTATTATAAAACGTCGCTTGCATCCCGAAAACAATAATTGCTCGAGGAATTATTATCTTCTGTAGCCTTAATGTTAGTAAAAGTAACTACAGTATAAGTTAATGAACTCGTTTTATTCTCTGTAAATAACACTAACGTTGCTGCGGGTGTAGCCGTGGGAACAGGACTCCCCACAACACTCTTGTTGTCCCCAATTCGTGGGTGTTGGGAGTCTAACGTCATTAGCTTGGTTGGAAAAATTATCTCTTTCCCCTTGGGGAAGTACATCGAGTCTGGGCTGTACGATGTGGAAGGATGTACCCCCATCCCTGTGGTTCTGGGTGCGGTGGATCGAAGGTTTGGGGGAAATCGGGGTAAAATCCACCTGCAGCAGCTGCTTCTCTTCGCAGTCAGCTGCCCGGGAGACAACCGACATATTTATTTTTGGGTATATTAAACATTGAATACATTATACGTGGTTGAAAATATTAAACCATGGATTAAAATTCAGTGACTCAAGCGATGCGTCAAAAAATGAAACTTAATTTCAACAGCCGCTCTGTGACCAAATAATTAATGCGAATATCAGTAGAAAAAAATTTAGAAACGAAAAGTTAACTAAAATTGATAAATGATTTAACTCTTTATAATTAAGTACTATTCAACAGCTGACTGATATTGATAGAAGTACATACGAAAAGCAGAGCCTATTACAAAATGGATTTTTTGATTATGGCAAAATGACAATGAAAATGAATTTTCTGAGCCATAATTACACACAATATTAAGCTCAGTTTTGACAGCTGCCGAACATTACTAGGGAGACGACATCCAACTAACATTTTTGACAGCTGCCGAACATTACAAGGGAGATAACATACAGCTAACATTACTCATTCAGCTTGCACTATAAATGACAACTTAACATATGTAACATATGCCGCATTATTAAAGGCCAGACTCACCATGATCGCAAGTCGTCTGAGTTGTGTGCGCTCCGTTGAGACGCTCCTTCTCGCAAGGGCGAATGGGGCCAGCGTAGACTATTTTAGCGGCGCTCTTGGACTTCCTCGGAGTGCGGAACTTGAGCATGAAAAGCGCCACACAGAAACACACTAAGGCCGTAATGAGGCCACCGAAGACGATAGCAATGAGTAATGTCCAAGGAACCCATGCAGTTCGGGTGCTATCGTATGCGTTGGGTGCTCGTCGTGAGAGCGCAAGATGGGGAGCTGTGTATGTTATTGTTACCGGAGCGCTGGTGCCTCGAGCGTTCACGGCGGTTATGATGAACATCAAAGGCTCGCCAATTTTGAGGTTCTTCAAGTGGAATACCGGAATGGGGGAGTGGGAAACTTGAGCCAAGGGACGGGAATGAAGATTCTTGAATTCTCGGACTTCAAGAGAGAAAGTTTGGTTCATGCCACCGTCGTAGCCTGGAGAACACGTCACCAGAGCCACGGTGCGTGGCATGGAACTGTTGTTGTGCACTCTACAGTTCTCGACCGCTTCTGGCTTCGCTGTACGGACAAGACAGGAAAAATGTGTTTCACTATTTTTCGAGTATGACGACTTCTTTAAATCATTTTTTTACACAATACAAATTTCTGAGTAGCATAAAACAAGTATATATTTTACAAAATTTAATTAGCACGAGAACATTATTTTGGCTCAGAATTATATATTTTTGGGGGATTCTTGTGTTTAATTTTATTATTAAATCGTGCTTCAATTTCTCTCCTCTTTCAAAATGAAGTTGCTTACATTGGTTCAATTCATTATTGAAATAGTATTTATCATATGTGTCATAGTATATAAACAGTATAATAATATTTATCAAATGGAAATCATTTACGACGAACGCTTCAGCAGGGAACTCTCACCGGCCGGGACGACGTGGAAGACGCACGGCTGGAGCATCATGCCCACGTCGTTAGCAGCCCAGCAGAGGAGGGAACCGAAGTCCAGTGAGGTGTGGGGGATGTACAAGGCTCTGCTGACAGTGCCGTTATTGCTGAAGGTGTTCTGGGGGATGTCTATGAGCCCCATGGTGCTGTTGAAAGCCCACCTGAAGCTCAGAGGGGCAGGGTGGCTCCAGACCTTACAAGTGACTTCCAAGACCTCCTTCAGACCGGCGCCATAGTGCGTTTTTTGGTGGTCGGCGCACTCAGGCGCGACTATAACCGGGCCGGAAAATTTAATGTATTTTTCGAGTCCGGAAAAAATTGCTAAGGTTTTTAATTACGAGTTATTCAAATAGTTAGAGTAATAAATTGGTTTACCAACTATTAGATATTGATAAAAATATTTACCTTGATATGATGCAATGAAAGCAATATACGCACATATTATAAATATTTTCAAGAAATACGCAAATTATAGAGGCAGATTAATTCTAAAAAATATGGCATTGTAAAGCTAGCTTCCAAAACCTAATTTTTGAGCTTTACAACTTAGGTTTCTAATTTTCTTTGGTCTGGACTATTCATGGAATATATACACTTGATGTTGAGGGTGAGGGGGTGGGAGGTGGCGGCGCCCAGGGAGTTGGCGGCGGCGCAGGTGTAGGCCCCCGACAGGCGGCGGGACGCGCCCTGTACCGCCACCCGCGACCCCATCACCGTCACGCCCTCCAGGGAAGAACTCTCCAGGGGCACGCCCTGGTCAGAAACAAAAGCAACAATGATGATTATATGCAGATCAGGTATAAGAAATACAAGGAGCGACAAGTATTATGAAATTCTCCATGAAATAAAAAAATGTATCAGTACTCCCTGCAGTGAGTGACGGAGAGCTCATTTGCTCGTTGCCGAGTATCATGGATACTCGGCAACGTGAAGTCACAGACAGACAGACGGACGGATAGACGAACGGACGGACAGACGGACGGACATGACGAGCGCAATAGCGCCTTTTTTCGTAAATGAGAAAATGCGCTAAAAGGACTTGCGTCATCCGAATAAGGCCTGAGGAAATATTCAACGATTATTAACTGCAGTTATGAGCTGCCTACGAAGAGACGAGCGGCGGCTGTGAGCTGCGGGTGTAGCAACGGATGCAACCTTTGGTGCTGCTGCCGGAGCTTCACTACTGTATCATTGTAAAATTCAGAGGCCTAAAATTGAGCACTGAGGGCATCGAGTGCTTACTCTCGTAACCAGAGTCTGTTCTGCTCTCGGAAAACCTTTTAAGTAGTTCGGAAATGTAGAGCACATTTTGATGGGAATGATCATTATGACTTTGTAGCGGACCTTGATTTTATGATGAACACTCATGTTGAGGGAGATTCAAAGCTCAACATCAGGATTCAGAAACAAGGGAAGTACTTGGTTATTCCAAAGTGCCAGCAACCAGAATTGCTGGTAGAGGCGGGACGTAAACAGCTTCCTTGACGTAACCCCATAAGAAATAGTCACATGGGGTGAGACCAGGTGATCTCGGTGGCCAGAAGTGTAGAGCCTGATCTTCATTTCCTATGCGTCCTACCCAACGCTCTAGGAGGTGACTGATTAAAAAGTTTCGGACATCAAGATGTCAATGGGGCATCCCAATTCCGCATTGGATTGGGTTGGAAAAATTTAAAACTTTCTCTTTCCATTAACATAGAAATTTTGTCATTTCAATTTATACTCAATTAATTACGAATTTATTAAATTGGGTCATCATTTAGAATAACCCTGAATAATCAGGGAAGTAATACCAGACATCAATCCACAAAATATAGCCCCTCAGGAATCGAATTGATGTTATTCTAAAAAAAACCTGCTATGAAGTTGTTCTGAAAAAACTGGGCTTTGAAAACATGAAGAATATCCCTATAATTTATTTGACATTCTTAACTCACAAATCCCTCATTCTCACTCTCTTACGCACAACAATCGAATGCACTTGAAGGAAGAATCCTTCGGTTTTTCTTCAATCCTTCCTGCCTAATGTGGCACGTTATAGTGCTCGGTCTACCGATGCTCCCAGGTCATATAGAAATTTATGAAGTCCAGGTCGAAATCACCTAAATAAGAACGTAACTTTAAATGCGCTGCGGGTCTACGTTGAAGTGACAATGTTAATCGTTCATTTGATGTGACTATATTAAAAATTACGCCTAATGAAAGAGACAAAAGTAAATTATAATAGAACATAAATTATTGGGAACAGAGAAAAAGACTCAGATAAAAGTAGCTCATAATACCGATAAAACCATTTTTCGTATAAAATGTGTAAAGAAAAGAGGGCTAATATCTATCGGTAGTTGTAATTTAAACAGTTAATTTATCGATAATCCTTTTAATAATTAATTTTGAGCCGTACGTGGGAGATTTTTAAATTGAGTGTATTGAGTAAAACGGAAAAGGTGGGTGAAATGAAGTCGATGGTCGGGTCGATGTCGTTAAAATCATTTGTTGTTATGAGCTCTCTAATAATCTCTTAATACATTTGAAGGAGCGACAAAACTTGAAGATAGGCCCCAGCATTGAAACAATTAATGTCAAAATTGAACAGAGTAACTATTCTTTTTTAAGACATCTCAACTAATTTCGATGTTATCATTCCTCATTTAATTATTTCATTAGCTAATTTCGATAATATCCTTCCACATTTGATTATTCCATTCATTTTACGTAATAAAAAGAAACAAGAATAATTAGTGCTCACATCTTTAGCCCAGTGGAGGGCCGTAGGAGGAGGGTTGGCGTCCACGCCACAGCTCAGCCCGAACGAGTCGCCCACTTCTAGCGCGTCTTGCGGCGTCCCCGCCGAGTATGTCAGGTTCAACTTCGGCGCATCTCGAGGCGAGCAAGAAATTACGCATTATCATGCACGAAATGTACGTCATTTGATTGATATTAGAAGTAAGAAAAGAATCATAATGGAAGCAAGAAATGACGCATCAATATACATGAAATGTACGTCTTTTGATGATATTAAAAGCAAGAAATGACGCATCAACATCCATCAAATGTACACCACTTGATTGATACTAAAAGTAAGAAATGACGCATCAACATCCATGAAATGTACGTCATTTGATTGATAATTGAAGCAAGAAATGACGCATCAAATCAGCGAAACGTAAGTCATTTGATTGATAATAAAAGTAAGAAATGACGCATCAACATCCATCAAATGTACACCACTGGATTGATACTAAAAGTAAGAAATGACGCATCAACATTCATGAAATGTACGTCATTTGATTGATAATGGAAGCAAGAAATGACGCATCAACATCCATGAAATGTACGTCATTTGATTGATAATGGAAGCAAGAAATGACGCATCAACATACATGAAATGTACGTCATTTGATTGACAATGGAAGCAAGAAATTACGCATTATCATCCACAAAATGTACGTCATTTGATTGATAATAAAAGTTAGAAAAGACGCATCAGCAACCACGAAATGTACGTCATTTGATTCAAAATAAAAGCAAGAAATGACGCATAAATATTTATGTATGCACTGCATTTAATACAAAACAAAGGCAAGAAAGGACACATCAACACCCATGACCAGCACTGCATTAAATAAAACACGGAGGAAGAAATTAAAAGACACATCAATATCCATGACATGCACTGCATTTAATACAAAATGACGGCAAGAAAGGAAGCATCAACATCCAAGACATGCACTGCATTTAATTCCACATGAAAATAGGAAATTACTCAAAGTCCATAAATTGACAGTATTTTATTAAAAATGAAAGTGATACATTAATATAAATCAACAACTCGTAAATTCATAAGATTTCATTCAAGATTTAAGTAAAAAATATACACTCATGACATTCATTGCATTTTAGTCGGAATAAGAGTAAAAAATATTATTAAATTTGGAATAATAATCAATCTAGGAATTGTCAGTAGACGAAGAAAATGATTAACAACACCAAAAAAGTATTGAAATCTCAAAAAAATTATTTATGCACAAAAATGTTAATATATTCTAAAAGAAAACATTTGGACAATGCGACAGAAATTCTTATACCAGAAGTTCATTGAATTCATTGAAATAATATATTTTATTAGATGGAATTTATATATACATTATTCAAATTTAGCAGCATAATCAGCTTTGATTCAGCGAGCATAATGATGAAATAAAATTCTCATAAAATGATTTTTACCATAAAAATTACTCATCTGTCGCAAGGGATCTCTTCACTTTTTAATGTATGTATTGCGGCGCATCGGAAATCAAAGTTTTGAGAGTAGTTTTATTTATTTCAACATGTGAGGTGGGTAATTGATTTGAATAATAAATGAATAATTGATTAGAATATTAATACATAACGGAAGAGTATTGATACTTACAAAGCACTTCTAGAGTGACATGGTCACTGACAGACTCATCGGGAATCTTGGGGCTGTAGGCGGTGCATCTGAGGACCTTTTGATGATCTTCGGGCGAGGGGATGAAAGTCAACGTGGAGAGGGATCCTGCATCACGATTAGAGTTTGGTCCTGCATGCAACACGGAGGATTGCGTTGTAGAGGCCGACTGGTGCATATCAATTGCATGACCATCCTTCTCCCACAGGACGAAAGCCTGAGGACGGCTGCCTAGCGCCTCGCAAGCAACCGCGTACTCGACGCCATCTTTGACGACCAGCAGTCGCTGCGATGAGATTTGGGCGCGCGCTCGATCAAACTCGGGGCTTTGGTACGGATTTCTGTCTTGAGTTTTGAGCCAAATTCGCACTGAAGTTGGAGGCACTGAAGAAATTGTAGAAAAAAAGAGCGTTTTTTTTTATTTTAAACGAGTTTACATGAAGCAAGGATTACTTCTGAGCTGACTTTATACGAGAAATCGAAACTCAGAATGCATCAACCAAAAGTAATAATTCAGCCGGGACATAAGTTATGATAAAAATTACTCAGGAATTTATTAAATGAACTATAGCTTTGCGTCAATTAACATTTGATTACAACTTTAAATATACTCAGGAACTTAATAAGTAAATTATAATTAATAATTAGCTCTATATACAATATCAATATCAATTAGCTCTATACAATATAGTAATTAGCTCTATATACAATATCAACTCTACAAAACTTCCTAATTAATAATTTCTTCTAATAAAAGAACATTCAGAACTGACGCGCGACGTCGATGGTGACAGAGGCAGATAGGGGTGCAGAGATGTTGTTGTTGCTGGCTGTGCACGTGAGAGACGTGAGCACGTCGTCACGGCCCAGGGGCGGCAGACGCAGCGTGTTGCGTGTCACCTCAAACACAAACAAAAATTTTGTGTTGATGAATTCATTGTATTGATGGATTCAGCCATTTTCAATTGAAAAAATTCGTTTAAAATTGAGATAATTAGCAATACATAACTATTTGTGATATTATATAGTAAAAAACACTTTATAGGAAAAGTATAATATTATAAAAGTGGATTTCAAGTACTAGGTATCAAAAAATGATGGAAATACCTGCTCGGTTTGCAGTTCAGCGGAGCGATCGACAAGTCTGCCAGCCTGCCACCAGACCACCGATGGCAGCGGGTCACCTGCAACCGCATCAAGGCATGGGGGTCAACCTCTATACAGGGGATCAAACCCCTAAATTGAGGGATGTAACCCTTAAACTGAGGGATCCAACCCCTAAACTGAGGGATCCAATACCTAAACTTAGGGATCCAATCCCCAAACTGAGGGATGCAACCGCTAAACTGAGGGATCCAACCCCTAAACTTAAGGATCCAATCCCCAAACTGAGGGATCCAATCCCTAAACTGAGGGATCAAACCCTTAAACTTAGGGATTCAATCCCCAAACTGAGGGATGCAACCGCTAAACTGAGGGATTCAACCCCTAAACTTAGGGATCCAATCCCCAAACTGAGGGATGCAACCGCTAAACTGAGGGATTCAACCCCTAAACTTAGGGATCCAATCCCCAAACTGAGGGATGCAACCGCTAAACTGAGGGATTCAACCCCTAAACTTAGGGATCCAATTCCTAAACTGAGGGATCAATCCCCTAAACTTAGGGATCCAATCCCTCAACTGAGGGATGTAACCCCTAAACTGAGGGATCCAATTAAACTGAGGGATCGAATCACTGAGTCTGGGGAAACAAGCCCTGCAAATGGAGGATCAAATCCAGTCTATAGGGCATCAAACATTGCAACTGATGAATCAAAGAAAAAATCTCTGTTGATGGGCTGACTTTTAAGTCAAAATTAACAAAATTTTTAAAATAAATGTTCTTTTTAAAGAGTTACAGTTGTTGGCGAAGACAATTTTAAATTTGACGTCTCGATGACTTTATATATATTGATAGCAAACACTTACATACGTGGCAATTATTCTCTATAAGGCAGCATTTAATACAAAGCTTCACCAAAATTTCATTCGTGAATCTTATATTTTATTTGATTACATTATTAAATTTGAAAATTTTACATAAATACTCGTGGGACAAATGTTTAATGTTACTGTAAGTGATTGCTAACCCCCGGTAACCTGGCAGGTGAGGGTAAGGTCCGCCCCCTGAGGGTAGGGGCCGATGTTGCCCTCCACCACGCGACCCTCGTCCCAGCTGCTCGTGATCAGCAGGTGCCGCGGCGGCACTGATGATAGAGAATTATTCATTAGCAACAATGTAATTATTTTTTGATGAAATAATGCTGGTATTATTTACTATATGTTCGTCAAATTTGGTATAAGTATAGCACTATTGGTCATAGCTGTTAGTGATCAGCAGGTGCCGCGGCGGCACTGATAAATAATAGAAAATTGTTATTTGTATTAGCACACATGCAATTATTTTTCGATTAGGTAATGCTAGTATATTAAATATATGTACGTCAAAGTTGGTATAAGAATATTTGTCCCAGCTGCTCGTGATCAGCAGTTGCCGAAGCGGGACTGATAATAGAGAATTATTCATTAGCTCCCATGTAATTACTCTTTGATAAAATAATGCTAGTATTTTTTACTATAGGTATGCCAAAGTTGGTATAAGTATATTTGTCATAGCTGCTCGTGATCAGCAGGTACCGGGGCCGGAGTGATAATAAATAATTATTCATTGTATTAGCACACATGTAATTATTTTTTGATTAAATAATGCTAGTGTTATTTACTATATATATGTCAAAGTTGGTACAGGTATATTTGTTATAGCTGTTAGCGATCAGCAGATGCCGGGGCAGAACTGGGCACAAAATTGTTATTATTTTATTATTACAATTTATGATATTATTTTATGATAGCTCTAATGCGTGAAATTTAAAGGATTGAACGCGATAAAACGTCTTCTGAATAGAAGAGTGAAAAATCGAGTCACGAATTACCGAAATTTCTGATTCGAGAAAAAGTTATAGTCTCGAATGTTTTTTCTATTTTTAATATATTCTTTAATTTTCAAGGCCTTATCCCCTTGCCTTAACCGATGATATCTAGAAGAAATCTATTTAACTCTCACTGATGATATCAAGAAGAAATCTATTTAACTCTCACTGATGATATCTAGAAGAAATCTATTTAACTCTCGCTGATGACATCTAGAGGTATTCTACTCATCCCCCAGTTCTCACTGATGACATCTAGAAGAAATCTATTTAACTCTCACTGATAATATCTAGAAGAAATCTATTTATCTCTCACTGATGATATCTATAAGAAATCTATTTATCTCTCACTGATGATATCTAGAAGTATTCTGAAGTTCTTGGTGGGCGCAGCTCTGAAGTCGACGCGGCACCTATACTCGCCCTCATCGTCAGGCTGCAGGTCGGTGAGCAGCAGTCCGCGCTCGTCGCCGCTGACGATGAACTGCGCGCGTCGTCCCAGGCGGTTCTCGTCCGCCCAGCGGCGGCCGTTGACCACTTCGTCGTCGCGAGCGTCCAAACTGTGCGCCCAAGAAAGATCGGCCCGAATTTATTATAGTTCCTGCGTTTATTAATTAAAAAATTGCGTTTTTTAAAAATCAACGTTTATTAATTGATTGGACGTTGAATTTACGGCTAGTTTACGCTGGATTTACGATTATATAAAGTTGGATTTTCGATGATATAACGTTGGATTTATGATGATATAACGTTTAAGTAGATATAACGTTCAATTTATGATAATATAACGTTGAATTTACGACGATTTACCGTGATTTGCTTAGATGATTTTGGTATAAACACTCCGTCAACGAACGCATTACATGTTTTCAGTGATATTCGCATCCGAAAGTTGGATGATAAGTTATCGTAAGTAGATAGAGGCTAAAGAGTTTAGAAGAACTAGAAAATTATGGATTTTTTGTTTAAAAATATATGTGTTATCCAACAAAACTTGATAATATCGATAGACGTCGAAACTTAATTGTTCTTGGACGGATATATGAAAATGAAACGTTTAAATGAAACGTTTAAACGTTTAAAAAACGTTTAAAAAATTTAAACGTCGATGAAAAGTTTAAATTATATCATAGCCTTTTTCAGAATAAAACAGATTGTGTTTGCAAAAAATTATAATCTGTGAAATTTTGTTAAGTTTATTTCATGGAATGGCCGAACTAGTCTGGAAAAGGACCCCACGTGTAGATTGGAGTGCCGCTCTCTCCGTAATAGAAGAGCACCAGGATTGGTGGCTTGGCTGTGGTTGTTGGCGTGACGTCACAAGGCAGCAGCACCGACTGACCAATCAGAGCGCGCACTGTGGTCAAGGGACCTGCCGGAAAACAACGCACAAGCGATGCAATATTATGTATTAACAATGGAAACATTAGCAGCAACTAGTAATATATGTTCATGCAGATTTGACTAAGAGTTCATCATGCCCACATGAGTACGATGACGATCTGGTCTGTCACATGAATAATGAAAGTATATTTTTCCATTTCCAGAGAAATCGCCATATGTGGCCGTTGCAGTTTCACTGGTCGTCAGAACTAATATTGTGGTTAATATTGTGAACTAATATACTAATATTATTGTCAGAACGAAGTTACGTCAGAACTAGAATATTGATAATTTTTTAGTTAATGGTTTAACTAATCATGCCATCATTATCGTTACAATTTTCAACACCAAAATATTAAATTTTATGTGGAACGAATTTAACGAACGAAACTCTGCCTATTAACGTTTTGCGTGTTCGCGTGATAATGTTAATGTTTTGAAAAGGCGTATGAACACCATTAATATGATTATTTTATGATCAGTAACATGAAAGGAATTTGTTGTTTTCAGTCTCATAAACATTTTGTGTTGATTATGCATGCAAAGTTCCATTAATTGCATCTCAGTTTTGTTCTTCAATCGTGCGAACTTTATCGAACCGTTCAAACCAATAGATATTTGTTAAAAACAAAATATATTTCCCCAAGTTTCATATTATGGAGACGAATTTCAGCTGACGACCGAACTTAAAAAAAAAATTTACAGCAGTTCATTGCAAGTTCCTCTTGCGAAAACAAAGGCGTGTTCATAAAACCGTGAGTTCCGAGCGCTGAAGTTTGGCGATGACGATCGATCTAATTATAGGAACATTGTTGTATGAACTGAGTAAAGCTGAAGACATTTTGTTGTATAAACTCTGTGAAGAACGTGCCGTTTGAATGATGAAGGCATTTTGCAGTATGAACTCTGTGTAGAATGTGCTGTTTAAATGATGAAGGCATTTTGCTGTATGAACTCTGTGAAAAATATGCTGTTTAAATGGTGAAGGTATTTTGCTTTATGAACTCTATAAAGAATTAGCCGTGTGAATGGTGAAGGCGTTTCGCTGTATGAACCCTGTGAAGAATTAGCCGTGTAAATGGTGAAGGCATTTCGTTATATGAACTGAGCTGGGACTTTACTGCCTAAATTATGATGATTAAATTTGTTTGATAAATTGCATGCGAAGAGACCTAATTTGATGTGAAATTCACTAAGGCATTTTATTTTGTGAAATGAGCAGGATTTGCTGTGTAAATTCTAATAGTATTATTTGAATATATTCTGCAGCTCGTCTGCTTAATAAATTAAACGAAATTTGTTTTCTGCTCATCCAGTTCAAGATTCAATGAATTTGTATAAACGGTGCAGAATTTTTTGTTGAAATTTCCGTAGATTGTTTTTTTTTTTCTGAAATTCGTAGGTACAAGTTTTTTCTTATAAATTTTGCTAAGAATTCACACGTTGCACAAATTAGGAAGAGTATTTGGGGGATTAAATTTAGGCGCATTATGCACAGGCTTTGCAGTGAATCTCACACGCACACAGATCTTGTCGCCTTAATTATGCAAGGGCGAGAAGACAAAATATGTGTTGATCACAATGCACGAAGAAGCTCAGAGGCTAGAACATGAACGAGCATCTGCATGAAGTGAACAGAATGTATTTAATTAATTAAATGCTAGGCAGACCTTGATGTGACATGAATAGTACAGATTTTGTTAGAAAAAATATTGCTGATACTCAGATGGGAACTGACAAAACAGGGCGGTAAGCGAGAATCCGGAAACTCCTGCGCATGTCAAGTGTTTTGTTTTGTTGGAGCCGAGAGCTTTTGGAAGTTTTTGGCCTCTTGCACTGCTGTCGCTACTTGAAGTGTTGAGAGGTTTGAAAATATTATTCAACATGAGTGATTTTTGAATATGATTATTATCAGCGTCGGTGAAACAATACGGAAATATGAAAAGTGTTCCTATATAGAATGATGTCGTGAATGTGAGGCTATTAAAAAATATATATATTCGAAAAAGTCTTCAAGACATATTATTTGAAAACGAAGTCAGAGAGAAAGATAATGGAGTATGCAATGCACTTGCAGGTAAGAGTTAAAAAAATAATATCAGAGTTAAGTATAATTTCATGTTTTGCTAATATTTTTTGTTAAGTTAACAACGTGTCCCATTTTCTAAAGATCAATTCGACTAAGAGGAGCTTAAGCAAATCGTCCTTTATTTCATCCCAAATCTGATTTGAAGAAAAAGTAATATACTTGGTGGAGCCGCAATTAAATCACGGACAATTTAATTAGGGACATTCACTGCTAAAGCGTCGTCGCTCCATCACGTAGGACATATAGGACCGCGAGCTTTATAGGAGCTTAGGAGAGCTTGCGGTTCTGTGGATGTCTTGGCTGTAGCTAATGTGAAGGCCGCCCTGTATAGACTAATTAAGACATACGGAACGAAATCGCCTCGTTTTCAAACGAAATCGAGATGGACTTTTCGTTAAAAAAGTAGACAGAAAAATATTTAAGGTAATACAAAATGTAGCATTTTTTAAACTATTGCACCAGCATGCAGTTGCAACTGCACATTAAAACGACCAGCCATTGACAATTTATGTGGCTGTCACAACGCAATTGCATAATTCATAGTCTGTAGAAAATATTCCCAATAGCCTAAATCTCTAGTAAGTAATGGGCATAGCATTCAATAATTATAGATTCAAGTATTAAAAATAATTGAAGAATGTATATGTGTTGTACAAAATTTATCACCTAATAAAACTTGGAATAAAACTTACTGCTCTCGAGTCCCTCAGCAGCAGAGTAGTTCCGAGCTGCAGCTGAATAGGACGACTGCAACAACGACAATAGAAACAACAGCAGCTGCAGCTTAGCCATCCTTAGGATAGATGCTTCTCCTAAATCAGAGAAATAACATGCTTTTTGAAACATTAAAAACACTAATACTCGCGAGAGTGAGCTATCGATCGTTAATTAAACTGCAAGGATAAACAATAACATATATTTTTTTAGAAGTGGAAGTATATATTATTGCAAGCCTGATTTTTTCATCACTGTTTGCTGTTAATTTTGCTTGTGGGGTTATGATCGTATAAAAAATATTGGCTTAGTTTATAGTGATTTCCACATCTTACATATTATTTAGAAAATAAATAATCGTTATGCGCGACATCGGAATCCTAGTATATTATAGGATAAGCGACGAATGGTGGAGACATATATTGATAATTTAATGAGGTAAAAGCTTATTATTCATTGTTTGATTTCTATGTAACACTGGATAATAAATAAATTGTAAAGAGATTTTTATGGCCGACGTGAGCGCAGCAGCAGCGCTCGAGCACTGCTACATGGCAACCATTGCCTGGGAAATTCGATACCATTAAGTTCGTCTGGATCGTCATTCCGGAAATTTGGAATAATATTCTCCGGGTAGGTTGACTTGGTTTAGGTGCGGGTAATAATTTTTTTATAATATCACCGAACTTAAAAAGAGAAATTAAAAATTGGAGTGAGCACTAAACACTTGGAATACTGGAAGAATTTTTCAGACTTAGCCACAAATAAACACGCCAAGAATTCGAATAAAACTAGTCTATCAAAACTTTAAAATAATCATAACTTTATCAATTTTAAAAACACTGGTAACTTTCAAAGTGCTTGATCAAAATAGACATAATATACACATATGACACAATATACAAAGTGATAAATATATGTAGCTTCACAAATTGACAGCCATTTGTTACTTTTGATCCGTAAATTTATTTGATAACTAAAATTTTCAAGAAAAATTAAAATTTTGTGTGACGCGAAGCGTCGCTGTTTCTTTGGTCGCACAAAGGGAATGTCTCCAATGTTTATAAAACATCAGTGAATGCGGTAACTGAGGACTGGTGGTATAATGCAGCCTTGCAATTTGCATGATTTCTTCGGGCACGCCGACGAGTGGTTCTTCTTCGCAGGCCATTTCGTGACAAGACTAACCCACTGGCAGAATTACTCCAGATTTTATTCATTGAAACTTTGGAAGTAGTATGATGAAAAATCATACTGATCGCACCGAAAATAGTATGGTGTTGGCGACAAGTTGTTCCAACAGTCCCACTAACCAAGTTATTGGCAGAGTTTTCTCACTGGAGTGCTGGATATAATGTAATGATGCAGTTATGGTGGAGATACTAAATTGTTTGCTAGAGTTACGGTGTCTAATTTGTATTAGCTATTGAACAAAACAAGTAAAAAATACAAATTAGTAAATTAAACTTCAACTCTGGCTGGCTGCGCGCGTGATTTAAGGGAAAAGAGAATGAAATGAAACCAAAAGTCAGATTTCAACATTTAAAACATTCGCTCAACAGCTAGAGAGTATTTATTTATTTATTTATTTTGCATTAGTATATGTCGACATCAGGTGATGAGTCACCGTAATGACCATCAATTAGTCTACATCTTGCACCATTAAAAGAACACAACTATCATTTTCACCTGAAAGTTTCACCGTCTCATTTTACGTCCTCTCGAAGTCAGCGTATCGAAATGAGCGATGCTTGGGTGCAAGCAAAGGAAAATATTTTCACTGCATAGATAAGCACTCTAAGCAAAAAACTAAACGCATAAAAATGGTTTTTCAGTTTCAAAACATCATTATTACTGAGAAGCAAACTCATCACCTCTATGATAACAAAACAACCATTATTATTTTGCAAATAATCTGGCTGACATTCGAGCTTCATCATAACAAAGCCCACATACTTTCTTCTACATATTTTGTCCACCATCTGTCAGAGTTTTTCTCAGTCACTCTCGCCGCTTAGCACCGAACTTCACACACCCTTCTACCACAAGACTCAGACGGGCACTGACATGAAAAGGTCGAGTCGTCAAAGCTGCTTTTCCCTCACCTGACCCGTTCAGAGAAAATTTTAACACATTTTTAGGGCTGACTGAAGAATATAGTAAAACCTTCTTAGAATTACCGCACTTTCCCGCAGAATTTAATGATAACCACAGTGCACTGTGAAGTTTAAACACAAAGTATCCGGTTTGCTAATATCTTCACACTCTCACAGATCGTCATGGGCATTGATGTCAAAGTGACCACCGCCCGTATACACAAACACTAATGAACTAACAAACATTTGTGAATGAACTAAGTCACATTTGTTGTGACTAAACTAATGAGAGATTGCTAAACTTTCTATTATTGCTAGGCTTCCTAAAAGACGTTAACCTACTTGCCCGCGTTATATGATCAAGCCAGTTCACGCACTATATCACAGTATAGCACCACTGTACCAGATCACAATATAAGTAAAGATCACTTTAAAGGTTAAAAATACAACCTTGAAGAACCATGAATACAGGCAGAATTTTTTCAACCAATACTTTATAGCTGCATGAAGTTTATATTTCTTTATTATATAATTTTGCATAAACAGGTTGTATTGGAGGCAATTCAGTAAATAGGATAGTTTGCGTCCATATATATCTTGTATTGCTGATAATTATATCCATATATTATATATAGTTTGCGTCCACATATATCTTGCATTGCTGACAAAAATTAATTTAATGTTGATCACTTTAATATATTTGCTAATGATATGTGTATATGATAGTGGAGCTGCTAAGAAAATGTTACCCCGCTCGGGTCTTTTTATGCGCGGGTGGCAACAGTCTTCGAGAGTAAAGCGGAGTAAAAAGATAACAGTGAATAGTAAATATGATCGCAAGAACTAAACATCGGAGCATCCCAAAATTTTTTGCGAATAGCTGAATCACCAAATAACGCAACTACGCAAACTGCGTCAGCGTCATTCCGGAATTACTGAACCCGATTATTGGAATGACCTGTGTGAACGGTTCACAACCGATGTGAACGGTTCACAACCGATGTGAACGGTTCACAACCGATGTAAACGGTTCACAACCGATGTGAACGGTTCACGACCGTTAACCGAAGCTTCGTAGTCCCTCAGAGACAGACGTTCGGACGCAAGAGTTCCGAATGCCAAAAAATTGTATTTTTTTCACAATATCTGTTTTCTCTTCCTCCAATACGTGAATTTTATATCAACTATGTTTTTCTATTTTTCTATTCGATATCACTTGTTGTGGCGATATTAGATAGTATAACTATAAAAATCTTTACGCTCTCTCCTCGAAACCAAAGCTGTCTCCTTAACAATTCATCTCAATAAATGTAATGTGATTAAAACTATTTTTGACAAACTATATTTTCTGCAGGTTCTCGTCTTAATATTCACCCTATCCAGATATCATGTTGTTACCTCCGAGAAAGAAAGAAAGAAGAAAAAAAGAGATAAAAAACTTTAAAAAGTTACAGTTTTTAAAATTTATTCATAATAATATTTTTTGGCTATATCACCTTAGCAGGCATTATTTGTAATTTTTTCATTTCAAATCAATCTGTAAATATTCAAGGACATATTCATTGAATTCAATTTCATGGCTAAGCTATAATTGCTCACATGATTAAGACCTTTATGGCATCTAAGCGCCATAACATCTCTATGGGCAACATGGCAGTTATTGCGTCAAACTACTCTAGTAGCTTTCGACCATTTGTTTTTTTGGTACTCAGTACCAAAAAAACAAATGCAGTGCAGTGTGATGGCACTGTGCAGTGATGGCGCAGTGTGCCAAATGCAGTGTGATGGCGCTTGCCTAACAGAATTTCCTCCTCATCTGTCGTCACTCGAGAAATGTTTCCCGCAGCTAAGGGTGCGACAGACATTAGAAGTTTTATAATTCCTGCCTATCTCAATGTTTTACTGCCATTTAAGACAATTGTGGCAATTTACATACAATAAGCGCTGTGGCAAACTACAGAGAGGAGCTGTGGTAGATGCGTATAGTGCATTCTGACGGCAGTGTATACAAGGAGTGAGACGATACACGCATGTATTCGGAGGCGAGTCAAGAGTCTTTGCTCCAGTTACGGTGAAGATATTTGAGGATGACGCTGCTCACTGGTGTATCATGGCAGTGATTGATTTATTCGATATGAGATTGTAATGAATTATTTATTGTTAGCAAGCAATAAGTGTTTGTCATCAGTCATTTCTAAGTCATAAATCGCACGGAGTAACACGATTCCGTGCAGCCTTTGAATCCTGTTGAGACGTGACGTGAGTGCACTCAATTTTTTAATGCGTGGTTTGTGATGAAATAGCATTTGATTCTAATTTTTTAGAATATGAGATTATCCACACTAATTCTAAACCATGTACTGTATATAGCACTTGTGTGCAAACCCACTTGAAAGCGATTGAACTTTGCTTAGTCTAGTTAAGGCTTAAACTCTAGCTCCTACATTATAGACTGTCTGCATCAGCTATTTACTATCTGCTTACTCAAACTAACGTGGAGTTTTGAACTTATAGCTCCAGGTGGTTGCTTTTACATGCCGATTACTCGAAATCAACTAAACGAACATTTACGCATTTTTAGATGTGGGCTAGAGGCGATAAACTTGGCGTTATGCACACGTTTTTTGTCGCAAGTATTTAGGCTGCCATTCATTTACGCCTGATTTTCGTTGCGGCAGAGTCAAATAAATTTATTGAAATTTGGTTGTACTTTTCATGTCCAAATAATGAATGAAAAGCAAATGTTATTTTTCAACTGCATTGTTAATATTTGTTTTTGATTCAAGTAGTCAAGGCGCCAATTGTTTCTCTTTCATTTACCACTCATTGAACTCGGTATTCATTATTTTAATATATTTTTTATTCATTATGAAGTAAACCGGACATTGCCTAATATATGTGATACCAGAGATTTGACTATCTTGATCTTATTGAACCCGAGAATAATTTCTAAACATTCGCTCTGTTGAATAAATAAAGACTCGCTCAAACCCACTCCAAATTTATATTTAAATTAAATGCAAACGAAACTCAATCTTTTCACTTTGGAT